GTCACCATACCACAGCATATTGTGTCGAAAAGTATGCTTGAAAAAGAGCACACAAAAAAAGAGCCCGAGCCAGGCATGCCGATGAAATGAACGCAAACAATGTTATGCAAAGGCCACAAAGCGCAGATCAAAGGATATATATATATATATAAAAAAAAAAAAAAAAAGGGCAAGCAGTGGGGAGGCACTATGAACCATAGTATCCTGCAACACGGCAGTGAGGCAGCAAAGTAGCAAGGCAGCAAGACAAAAGGCAGCAAGGCAAAAGGCAGCAATTCAGCAAGGCAAGCTGCAGCGAGCCAAAGGGCAGTGAGGCAAAAAATGTCAAGGCAAAAGGCAGCAAGGCAAAAAAGGCAAAAAAGGCAGTGAGGCAAGCTGCAGCGAGCCAAAGGGCAGTGAGGCGAAAAGTGTCAAGGCAAAAGGCAGCTAACCGGCCAGGCAAGTAGCATGGAAGGACAAGGCAGCGAGGCAAAAGGCTTTAGGGCAAAAGGCGATGAGGCAAACTGCAGTGAGGCAAAAAGCAGCCAAATGACGAAGCAAGTGGCACGGAAAGACAAAGCAGCTAGGCAAACCAACCAAGTGGCACGGAAAGACAAAGCAGCAAGGCGAAAGGCGTCAAGGCATCAATGCATCAAAGGCCCAGCAAGGCACGGCAAGGCAAAACGGGCAGCATGGCAAAATATATGTCAAATGCGTTAAGTAAACGACGATCGAAAAAAACATGCAGCCAGGTATACCCGAGGAAAGAACGCAAACGTGCAAAACCTACACAAGCAGAAGAATGAAGGACAAGAAAGTTACGAGTACCAACTGAAAAAAAGACAAAGAAAAAAAAAAGAAAGTCGAACAGCAAACACAGATGGTGATGACGGACTGTTCTGTTGGACTTGCACCAACTCATCAGGAGGCTGAACCCTCGCCAATCTGCAGGATCCCCATACTAATGCTTCGAGTCATGGACTTTCTTAAACGCTGTTGAAAGTGGACGGCCAGCAGCCAACGCCACAAGCGGAACATGGCAGCAAGGCAACAACTTAGCGAAGCACCGCGAAATGCTAGTCTTCCCCCGAATACAACATACGGTCATTATAGCTGAATTTGGTGTATCTTTCAGTCTAAATTCCGCTATACTCACCATACGGCGTGTATTCGGGGGAAGACTGTAGCAGGACAGGCCACCTATACAGCACAAAAAAGACTAACTGCATAGGAAGGCAGTGCAAGTGGACGGGCAGCAAGGCGAAGAAGGCAACAACACAGCAAAGCGCAAGGCAGCGCTGAAAACGAGGCCAATCTACACGGCACACAAGCAAAGTGCGCAGAAAGGCAAGGCACGCTGATGGACAGTCACGGCAACAACCGAACGACACGGCAAACGCATACAAGCTGCAGGGATAAACATGGCAAGCAGGTGGGCAGCAAGGAAACAGAGGAGTGCAGACGAGGGGCAGTGCACACATCGAACGCAGGCCAAAGCAATCCATCACTTGCTCACACCACAAGTAGAACCCAGCAGACTGCTAATTCAACGAAGCGCTGAGTCAGGAAGCCACTCCAGCGAATGTTTGCCATCACCCATGGAGCTAGCTGCACCCGCAGGCATCCCGGTCAGAGTGGCCCCCCTAATAGCATGGCAGGGGCCCTCCAAACAAGCAACCACCGACTATTTGGCACTAATCAGAGGTGCTCGCACAGACAACGAGAATATACATTACATACGGTTGTGCCACTGACTATTTGGCACTAATCAAGGCGCGGCAAGCAGCAGGCCAGAGAGGCAGCAAGGCAACACGGCAGCGAGGCATAGCTAGCACAGCAAGCAGAGAGGCACGGAGGCAGCAAGGCAACAGGGTGGCAAGGCAGCAAGGCAGCAAACCAGAATGGGAGCAAGCCAGCATGCAGAGAAGGCAGGGCAAGGAACAGGGCAGCGAGGCACGGCGCGGCAACAAGGCAGCAAGGAAGTGCGGCAGTGAGACAGCAAGGCAGCGTGGCAAAACAGCAAGGCAACCAGCAGGGCAGCGAAGCAGCAAGGCAACAGGGCAGCAAGGCAGTACACAGCGGCAAGTCACGGCAAGCAGCAGGGCAGCGAGGAAACAAGGCAGTAACCGAACAAGGCAGCGACACAGCTAGGCAAGTGGGCGGGCATACAACAAGGCAGCAAGGCAGCAAGGCAGCAAGGCAACCAGGCATCAAGGCAGCAGGGCAGCAGGGCAGCAGGGAGGCAAGGGAAGGCAAGGACAGCGAGCAGTGGACCAGGCAGCAAGGCAAGCGGGCACACAAGGCAGCACAGCAGCAAGGCAGTAAGGTAAGGCAAGTAGGAGGGCAGCTCGCCAAACCAGGCAGCAAAGTAAAGCAAACAGCAAAGCTGCACCGTGAGCAGTGAGACAGGAAGGCACTGAACAGCAAGGCATGCGGCCGGGCGGGATACCAACACAGGAAAAGGAACACGGCGGAATATCACCCACTCACATGATACGACCGTATGGAAAACCCAGCGGACTGTTGGGTTCACGCCACCTTCCAAGAGAGGAAGTCGCGCAATGAACGTCCATCACCAGCAGTGGAAAACACACACAGAAATAGGCATCTGACATTCAGGGTGCATTGTGGGGGGCACAAGTTGCAAAAGGAAGCCCGGTGTCCAGAATACCTTCAGATCGCACAGGGTGGCTTAAGACTCGAGACTCGAGAGTCATGGAGACCTAGAAAGGCGTCAAGCAAGTAGGCACTTCCGCAAAGCGTGTTTCTGATCCCTCTCATGTTTCTTTGACTGACTAAGTTTTTATACAAAGCAGTTGAAAGCACCGAAATAAAAACTAAGTTTTTATACAAAGCAGTTGAAAGCACCGAAAGAAAAAACTAAGTTTTTATACAAAGCAGTTGAAAGCACTCGAAGAAAAACTGAAAGCACTGAAAGAAAAATCAAGTTTTTATACAAAGCAGTTGAAAGCACTGAAAAGCAGTACAAAAATATGATCCCTGTCTCTTCTGAGAACTCCCTCCACCCCCTTCCAAGAACTTGCTCTATGTTTCATTTCAGCCTTCCCATTTGTGGCTTTTTTCCGTCCGTTTTGACAGTTATTTTCCTTTTGTGATTTTACGTACTTGTCTGTAAAACTGTGCTAGCTGCTAATGTTTACAAAAAAAAATAATAATAATAAAAAAAAAAACTGTGTTATCATCCAGGCGGACCAAGTGTGGCTGCATCTGCCCAGGTGCCCACTCAGACAGCCTGGGAAGGGCAGGTTCAGGCAGGGTTGCTCTGGCAGAAACCACGCGCATGTACAAAAAGGGGGAAAAAAAAAAATCAGATCCTAAAAATCCGGGGCAAACAGATGTTGTGTAGAATTTCAGTACAAAGTTACAACTTACAAAGTAATACAAAGTTACAACTTACAAAGTAATACAAAGTTACAACTTACAAAGTAATACAATGTTACAACTTACAAAGTAATACAAACCAGGGTTACCAGCCCGTACGTACGGAGGTCCCTGGGCAGACCTCCGTACGTATGGGCGTTCGGGGTCCCGTACGGGTGCCAAACCTGACGGCGTTTGGCCCCCGCCAAAAATTATTTCGGGGCCTAAACATATTTGTTTTTTTCTGAATTTTTTTCTGTGAGTTCTCTATGACATGAGGTACACGCCTATAAATTTTCAAGTCATTTGGCTCAGCCAAATAACAATTAAAAATCGCCAAAGATGGCGGTGTCAAAACGTGCGTGCCCACGTTTTTTTTCACTTTTTTACTTTTATTTTCACTTTAGTTCGGGGTCTAAACAATTTTATTATTTTTTGAAACTTTTTTAGTGTGTTTTGCATTATGTGAAGTACACGTATCTAAATTTTCAGGGCATTTAGCTGTTCCAAAAAAAAATGAAAAATCGCCAAAGATGGCGGTGTTGAAAACGTGCTCGCGAACTCACTAAATTCAT